TAGTTGTAGAGAAATAGGATTGGATAAAGGGAATATTATCTAATGGTAGAAAAGTGGGAGAAATTTACCAAGGCTTTACTTTAGTAAATTTACTTTAGTAAATACCTTCTAAAGTATTTGCAAAATACTTTACTTTGGGTTAGAGTTACACTAAAATACATATATCCTAGAAATGTCTACATTTTCTTCTTCAAAGGGTCAAATCTTTTTCAGATGTAAGTGCAGTGCATTTGTTAAAACTGGCTCAAGTCTGCAGGGATAATGGAGTTGAAAGATACAAGAAGCTCTCTTTCTCTGTGATAGATTGGGTAGGTTTCTAAAGAGTTCTTTTCTGGAGGGGTTATGATCCCAGTCCAATGATGTCAATGGTATGAATGGTAGAAAGTACCTCTCATAGTTTTTGAACACAAGGTAGATTCTAATATCTGGAACACTATTGGTGATATTTGATAAAATATATATTTTAAATTATTAAGAGATTTAGAACAAGATATAACAAATTCCTACTACTAGCTCTTCCAGTAAACTCTTGGTTGATTGGGGAACTGCTAACCTAGTTCCTAAATTCAGAAGTAAATCCAGAGAGATAGGGATCTTTGGGTTCTATCCAGACACAACTCAACTTACCTTCCCCTTCTGCAAAATAGGATTCCAATCCCTTTCCTGATCTTTAGAGCAGATCTATTCTGGAGGTTTCTTTTTGGCTTGCCTAGGAAATCATAGTGGGCTGTAATCAGGTCCTGATATTCCAGTATAACTCAGAAACCTTTGAAGAAATGCATGCTGTAATGAGCCCTTCACCAATAATGGGATATGTATAGAGAGTATCATGGGAACAAATAGTAGTTTTTTAGAACTTTTGTTTGCTTTCTAGAGTTTTCCATTTCATTTGCAGACAGAATATTGTCACATCTGACTGCTCAGCATCTCCGCCCAAAGCAGACCCTCTTTTCATTTTAGTTCTTAGAGGTAAGTTATATCCAAGACCCTATATTGACCTTATGATTAGTTGATGTATTAGTCGGTTCTCACACTGCTATAAAGATACTAACGGAGATTACATAATTTATAAACAAAGGAGTTTTAATTGACTGACCGTTCTGTGTGGCTGGGGAAGCCTTAGGAAACTTACTTAAAATGATGGTGGAAGGGGAACCAGACATACCTTATAGGGCAGCAGGTGAGAGAGAGAGCACAGGAGAGCAGGGAAAACTGATTTGTAAACCATCAGATCTCATGAGAACTTATTATCATGAGAACAGCATGGGGGAATCACCCCCTTAATCCAGTCACTTCCCTCCCTCGACATGTAGGGATTACAATTTGAGATGAGATTTGGGTAGAGACACAGAGCCATATCAGCTGTCAATGCCAAAAGTCTAGGGGAAATTTTCAAAGTACATTCTTGTGTGATATTTTCCTTTAAATACTGGCTTTTTTTTTTGTTTGTTTTTTTGGTTTTTTTTTGAGGTGAATTCTCACTCTGTTGCCCAGGCTGGAGTGCAGTGTTGAAATCTTGGCTCACTGCAACCTCCACTTCCTGGGCTCAAGCGATTCTCCTGCCTCAGTTTCCTAAGTAGCTGGGATTACAGGTGTGCCAGCTAAGTTTTATATTTTTAGTGGAGTTGGAGTTTTACCATGTTGACCAGGTTGGTCTCAAACTCCTGACCTTGAGTGATCCACCTGCCTCAACCTCCCAAAGTGCTGGGATTACAGGCATGAGCCACTGCACCCGGCCCTGTTTTCCTTCAAATACTTAATTCAGTTATGTCTTAAGGCTTATGTTGATTGGCCAGTGATCGTTTGCCTCGTCAACTCATTCATTCAGCAAATATTTTGGGAATATGTACTATATTTCAGGGGCATATATGGTATATAGGGGCTGGGATAAAAAGATTGGGAAATCAGATTTGTTTACAAAGTTTTGTTGATAGTTCATAGGTTGAAAATAAAGAGTGAAATACCTAAAGGAAACCAAATTACTTTTCTGCAATTCAAAGACTACATGCAAGATTGCCATATCAGAGCCTACTCTGTAGAGTTCTCCGTTAAGTGCATTTCATGTGGGAAGTGGCACCAGATGTTTTCTATATTACGATAATCTTCATATATTTATTAAGCTGTAACTTATAAGGCTTCCTGATGGGGCATTAAATGAGGCTCTTTGTGTGCTACACTGTGTCATTGTAAAGAAGCAGTCTGTTAATTCCTGCCTTGTCATTTATCTGGCTCTTACTGGTAATGAAGCATGTTTCAGTCATTCCAGGAGGGTTTTGGGGATATGCACAAAAAGGAGTAAGTGTAACAAAAGGATTGGTTTTATGGTGGGTTGGAGGAAATACACTTAGGGAGAACTAGGGTAGAATGAAACCTTTTGTCTAATATGTTTTACAGTTTTATTCGAATAACTCAGAATTGTTCTACATTTTAAGAAATGCTAAGAAAATACTAGGTTACTGCATTTTTGAAAGTTTTTCTTTTCTTTCTCAGTCACTGACCTGGCAGTGGGTTAGGAGAATCCAAGAACTCCCAAGAATTACAATGGTACAGTAGAGGAGTCAAGCAATTTTCCTATCATTTCTAAGCTCTGTGCTTGGGAGAAATGGTTATATACTGACAATGGAGGTTTGATTCCAGGAAAGAAAAGAGAGCATAGAAAAGGGAAATAAAAATGTGGGTTGTTAGATAAGAAAAGGGAAAAGAGCAAAAAAAAAAAAAAGGAAAAAAGATGTTTTGTTGTCCTTCTTTCTCTCTCTTAGCTCCTTCTTCTCACAAAAGGAAGGGGTGCAAAAATGGGCAGATTAAAAGGGTAAAGAAGCGAGTTGAATTAGAGATAGGAAGGTACTTGGAGGTAGTGAAGGAGAAGGAAAATGAGTCAGAGAAATCGCAAGAATAAGTGAGAGGGAAGGAAATGGGATAAGAACTGTTTAAATTCAGGAAGAAGAGAGGGGCTCAGAGAGGGGAGTGGACACTTTGGTCACACTGAGAGTCTTCAATTACTCCCAGCAGGGCATCTGCCAAATAGCCAGTGTCCTTTGCTGAAGACATTTTCCTGACTTTTGTATTAACTTTAATGTAATTCTCTTTATTGTCCCCTTATTGGTGGTGGCAGTTTCATCGACACTCTGTGTGATCAAATAGCAAATGTGTAGGTACAGTTCTGCTATTCCTGCCCCCTTACAGTTTGCAGCCAACTTCTGAGTAGTGCATCTTGTGTTTGACATTTGTCATTCCTCCGTGTCTTGTAGGAGAGTTGAAGGGGAAGAGAAATATTCCTAAGGGCTGTCACAGTTATAGCTCATGCATTCAAATATTAAAGAAGCTTAAAAAACTCGATAAAATCACATTTTGATTTTTTTTGAAGTAAGATAGTTGACTCCTTGCTAGTCTAGTGACCTGCCCTAACCTAAGGCCACAGTCACTATACGTATAGGTGCATTGCTTCAAGACTCAGCTCAGGAAGCCTTCCCAGAGTTTCCCACCTAGGTCAGGTACTTTCTAAGTGTGTACCAGTACCTTCCCCTGCCCCTGGCTTCCTGTGCTGACCTTTTCCTGTTAGATCTGTCATGCTGTGTTGTAATTTTTTTTTTTTGAGACAGAGTCTCCCTCTGTCACCCAGACTCTGGTGCAGTGGAGCAGTATCAGCTCACTGCAACCTCCGACTCCTGGGTTCAAGCAATTCTCTGCCTCAGCCTCCTGAGTAGCTGGGATTACAGGTGCCCACCACCATGCCCAGCTAATTTTTGTGTTTTTAGTAGAGACATGGTTTCACAATTTTGGCCAGGCTGGACTTGAACTCCTGACCTCCTGATCCACCTGCCTCGTCTTCCCAAAGTGCTGGGATTACAGGCGTGAGCCACTGCGCCTGGCTGTTGTGTGGTAATTTTTATCTTTCCACTTTAGGCTCTTTGCACAGTATTCATTATTACTGAGCACCTCATTATGGAACAAATAATGTCTATCTTTGATGTCTACAGATGCTGATCTTTAAAGTGTAAAATAAATTCTTCTAAATTTGGCTATGCTTTTAGATATCTGTTTACAATTAGGCTGCATGTTCTGGAAAGAAAAGAGATATAGCCATGTGTAAGGTGTTTCTGGAGAGTTTAGTAGAATATTTGTTTCCAGATTCATACAACTATAATAAAGGATTTGTGATCCCTTTAAGTTTTAGATACCAGAGGATGGTCTTGAAGTTTGGGGGCAACCTATTTCTTATGATTCTAGGACTCACGGGCCTGATGGATAAGGCACTTTAAAACCATGCTTCTCAGACTTTAATGTGCATAGGGATTATCTGAGGATGCAGATTCTGTTGCAATAGGTCTCAGGTAGGTTCTCAGATTCAGCACTTCAAGCTCCCTGGTGAGGCTGATTTCGCTGCCTATGGACCACGTTCTGAGGAACAAGGCTTTAAAACACTTTCTAGAAAGCTGGGCTTTATCCTATGAAAATGTCTAGGAGCACTTTATAGTTTGCAGAACAACAAATTTCCTGAGGAAAAGCTTATAAGTGTGTAACTCTTATTTCAATTTGGAAACTTAAAAGAATTTCTCACACTTAAAAACGGTACATCTGATACTAGTCAACCCCAAAACTGCTTTTGAATGACATTTTAGATTGTACTACCCTTAATTAACATATAGCTTTATTTTTTTAGGCTTTCTTAGATTTGGGAAACCCTGGCCCTAGGACTGGCCTTAGTGTATCTACTTTAGCAAGAAAGACTACTTTCAAAGCAGAAATACTGTTTGAAAGATTGACAGTTCTAAGGCTTTGTTTATGATGAGACCTTCACATTTATTGATTGTTACCAAGTTAGCACCATGCAGAGACCTTCTCCAAGGGCATTCAATCGCAATGGCCAGAAATGGAAAGGGCAATGTTCAGCTCGAACTTTGCAGGCGAAACCTTGCATCTACTTACATAGATAGGTTCAGTCACCTCTCTGAAATTGATGTTTGAAGTTTTTTTCTAACAAAATGGCCTTTATTTTACAGGTCCTTTGCTGCCAGCATGCTATCATATTTATAATATGTGGAGGAGAGAGAGCTCACCATGCTCAGGTAAAGGGATGGTATGTGCACCACAAATAACAAGCAGGTTAGTTATCACCATATGGGAAGGGATTTAGTTTGATTATACCTCTGGCATTCTTAGTTGTGTCTAAGTTATATCTGGATTTCAGGGACTGTGGCTGAAGATCTCGGTGAACTAACATGCATTTGGGGAGCATTTACAAAATACCTATGACAGGGCCTCTGTGAACATCCAGCAAAGAAACAGGACTGGTCACTTGAAATCTCTTTCCAACTTCTACAGAGTTTACATAAAATTACTACTGTTGTTCAACTTTATCAGCTTATCATGAGGCCTTTATCTTTTTAACATTTATGTAAATAAATGAATACCGAAGACTTCTAATTAAAGTCTTATCTCTGTCCCCTTATCTAAAGGTATCCTTCTAAATTTCCTTTGCATTTTCTTTTGAAATAAATGCATGTCTCACAACTTTGATTTTCCCAAACAGGTCACTGAGATTAATTTTCCATTAACCTTTATTACTTCTGTTTTTTTCTAATCATCTTCTTAGAGGATTAAACAGTCCCCATCGGGCTAGTCTCTCCTTAGGATATGAGCCGTCTTTTTCTTTGATGACCTCTATAGAACTGATTTGGATGGTGGTGATCTATTGTCCAATGACTGAACCTGGACTCGTTAACCGAGCCAAAGCTTCTGTAGATATACCCACACTAGGAGTTCTGATGACCATGGCCATGTTGTTATTGGTCTTGCTTCTTTGGTGACCCAGTCTGTATTATTTTCATCTGACTGCCTTTACAAAGCATCACAAACTGGCTGGCTTACACAACAGTAATGTATTGCCTCTGGATTCTGGAAGTCCAAAGTCCAGGTGTTGGCAGGGTTGGTTCCTTCTCAGCTGTGATGGAGAATCTGTCCCAGGCCTTTCTCCTACCTTCTGGCAGCCTCAGGCATTCCTTGACTTGTAGATGGTATTCTCCCTGTGTCTTTACACTGTCTTCCCTACGTGTGTGTCTATGTCTATGTCCAGGTTTCCTTTTAGTAAGGACACCAGTAATATTGGATTAGGGCTCACCCTACTGACCTCATCTTCACTCAATCATCTGCAAGGACTCTATTTTTAAAAATGTCACATTCATATGTATGAGAGATTTAGATTGCAGCATCTTTTTGGTGTACACAATTCAGCAGATAACACTATGTGGATGCTGGCATACCTCATTTTATTGCACTTGGTTTTATTGAGCTTTGCAGATATTGTGTTTTTTTATACATTGAAGGTTTGTGGCAACCCTGCATCCAGCAATTCTATTGGCACCATTTTTCTAACAGCACGTGCTCATATGGTGTTCCTGTTTCAGCAATAAAGGATTTCTAAATTAGGGTGTATACATTGTTTTTTAGATGTAATGCTATTGCACACTTAATAGACTATAGTATAGTGTAAACGTAACTTTTATATGCACTGGCAAACCAAAAAATGCATATGACTTGGTTTATTGTAATGGTCTGGAACCGAGCCTGTAATATATTCAAGGTATGCCTGAATTGAATTCCTCTAGATACCCTTAAAGCATCTAGCATGGTGCCTGCTGCTTAATATTTGTTGAATTAGTGAATGATGTGGACCATAAAGGCCATGGCCAAATTTAATTTGACAAAGCAAAATGCAGTGACCAGAGGTGGGCAGGTATTATGCCAACATTTGTCCTCAGTGAACTCTTGCCTTCAGGATAGTCCAGGCTAAACAATATCATAAATGAGATAAGAGTTTTCCTTTAAAGGTAGTAGCAGGTGGGGTTTTTATAAAATACAGCCCTTTGTGTGAGCTGGTACTGCTGTCTCCATTGGCATCACAGGTTGAACTGCCAATTTACATGCTGCCTCTATCAGTACATCAAGATATTGTTCCAGCTAATTCAATACAATTTAAATCATACTTAGCCGGGCTATTCTTTCTTTCCAGCTGCATCGCTTTGCACTTATTAAATTTAACATTCTGTTCTCTGGCTTTAATCTCTAAATGCTATCCTGAAGTAGATCTGCCCTAATCATGTCTTATTCCTTCTTTATGCTTCCTTTAGCTCAACATTATTACAAGTTACCTTTTAAGTGTTCAGATTTGGGTGTTGATAAATTATTAGGATACTGGTCTCAAGGTAGCACTTAAATGATCTGTCCTTTAGAGTTGCTTATTTGGAAAACCCTTTATTTCCTCTTGGGGTAGTGCTTTCTAGCCATGTCTACTGTTACTTCCAGGAAAGGATTACCTTTTTAATAGCAAAAGGAAACCCCCTGCTGAGATGAGTGAAAGTCCAGGGGCAGATCTCCTGGGAGTGAGGCAGGCATCTTTAGGAGCCCTGTGAATTCATTTAAGCCCCTGGATTAGTGCTGTGTGGAGATGCTGTAAGCAGCAGGTCAATGTCTAGATATTGACTGTGTGGGTCAGGCCCAGGCCTCCAGGAAGTCTGAGCTGCAGAAAGGGTGGAATCATTTACTTACAAGCTTTTCCAGCCCCACAGGAACTTTTGCGTTCCTGCAGGTGGGGCTGCAGGCTGTCCCAAGGCCAACTGATAGCATTGGCCTAGGCAGCAGTGAATTTATAAGATGATGACAGGCAGTAGAAAATGAAAATGAAATTAAAAATTCATCTTAGCATTTTTCACGCTGACATTCGTCCTAACAAAATTGATAAATCAAACAGCAAATATTTATGACGTGTGTGATGCATGCAGGCACAGTTCCACCAAATGCCAGGTATAGATGTATAACTTCATCCTGTGTCTCCATTGCTAACTTTCCTTTTCCATTTTATGCAAGAGCTTACTACCCTTCATTAGAGGTCTCCTATAACTTTCCATGTGAACTCTCCTAAGTGTGGCTTGTGGGCATGGCTATAGGGTTTCATTAAAATTGAAACAGTTAATTTGTTTTGGTTACGCAATGATCAAACCATGTGATGGTGGGATAGCCCTTGCCAGCTGCAGGTAGGTCCTAGTGAGCAATTATAAGCTTGTAATTCATCTGTCCCAAAATAGCCAGTGAAGTACTCTATGGTGTGCGCTATAACAATTATCACATCCCAATAAGTCTTATTTTAATAATCAAGTAATCTTACATGTACCTAATACTTCTCTATTATTAAAGAGAAAATAACCCAGAAATAAAACCTCAGGTGCCTTGAACATGAAAAACGAGTTTGTTATTGTTGCTTTGTCTTTACTCCATTTTGCATTCTCTAATTTCACTAATCTTACTTTTCTGAAAACTCAGCTATAAGACTCTCATGGAATTGATAATAATTTGCTAACTTGTTAGACTCTGATTTTAAAAAGGGGAAAATGAGAAAAATGATTCTTATGTCCTTTTAGTTAATAATTAACATGGTAAGTTTTTCTTAGATCTCTGACATTAGAATGTAATTATGATATTCTGGAAAGTATTTTAATTAAACAAATTATACTTCAAAATTTGTACACAAATCAGTTAAAATATGAATCTTAATGTCTGCTTTCTGTAGGATCTTCTTCCTCTCCCTCTGATGGTTCCTTCTTTGTTTCATTTAAATCATGAGTTTATGTTAAGTGCTTATGAGCTGATAATATAAAAGTGATGAAGAAGAGCAGTGGCTTTTGGCAGGGAACTCAGAAGCTTGGAATTCTCTTCATCTGCATTTAGTTGTCACTAAGCTCTGTCAAATTTCTATAATTCTTTTATATTTTACTTTCCTTTTTTAAATCTACAGTTATTCTTTCTAAGCCTTTCTCTTTTTCTTGCTTGTTCATATGACCATTCTGTTTTGTTTGCTCGTTGGTTCGTTCATTCATTCATTCGTTCATTCATTCATGTAGTACCCTTTTGACAGGTGCCAAACTTTGTTCTGGACATAGTATCAAGTATATTATAATTTATATGGGAGATAGCAATGATTTTTGCATGACTACGATGGAGCAATAAAACTAAGTATACCTTTTATATAGGAAACAGAGCAACTAAATTGGCTTGGGACAATTGGGAAATACTTTATAGAGAATATTTTATTTGAATGGAAATTAGTAGGAGATGAGTGGTAGAGAGAGAACATTCTAAAGGAAACAGAGGATAGATTAGCAGAGAGGTATGACAGGGCAGGGCATGTTTGTGTATTCCATGTTGTTTAGATATTGCTGGAGCATAAAGTTGGGAGAGGGATATAGGGCTGGATGAGACTCTATACGAAGACAGAAATCAAATCTTGAAGGGCCTTTGACACAATGTTGAGCCCTCCTTTGTATGTCTTCAGTTCTTCCTGCTCCTTGCAGGGAGAATGGCTGTGTGAAAGAGTGATTATATCCTGCCAAACTCTTCCTTTGTGACCCTTGTCCTGGTCTCACTGCTTCCAAAGGGAAGTCAAGTGTTTTTTCTCTTTAATTTACTCCATTGAATCATTTATTCTCCTAGATTTGCCTGCTTTGCTTTTCACACAGAATTTGTTATTTTGCTTTTAGATTCCATTTTCAAAATCCTCCCCTCCTTTAAGACCTCACTGAAATTCATATCCTTTATGAAAACTTTTCTCTACTCATGAATGATTTACCCCTTGTGAATTCTAGAACTTTCATTGGACTCTGCATATTGCAATTTTCACATGCTTCTCATATGTCACAAGTTATTTTTATAGCATTCTCAGACTATCCACGTGTTGAAGAGAAGGGCCATATACCTACCATGTATCCTATTTCTGCTGTAAGTGCAGCTTCTTGCATGTATTAATAGTAGACATTGCATGGATATTTGTTAAAAGAATAGAGGAAAACAGAGTTCCTTTAATTTGAAAGACTGCTACAGAGGTGGAACTGAGGGATTGATTAATTGTCATATGGAAGGGGTAAGAGTTAACATAATGTCCAGATGAAACTCTTAGAGGAAAGAATAATTGTCAATGAAGGTAGAAAGATTACATTAAACAAAAGGCAGGAATATGTACAGAAAGATGCAGTTTGAAAATCAGTTAAACTACCCAAAGGTTTAGGCATGGGGAGAA